GGCCCAGCATGTCGCGGCGCCTGTTCTCTTCTGTGGCGCTGCTCCNCTTTTTCATATGCTGCGGCAGTGAGTCTGTGCAGGCTGATGGGCCTGTCGCAGCGACGGCCATCGATCCATTTGCAGGGACAACACTGGTATCCGGTGCCAAGTGGGAGGAGGTTAAACCCACTGGGGGGTCAGTCTGTTCGCTGCGCGTCCCCAGCCTCGTGGAGGTGGGCGGCGAGGTGTTTGCCGTTGCGGAAGCTGAGTGCAAGAAGGAAAGTGGCGGGGCCGGGGTTCTTATTGGCATTGCGTCCAAGCTCCTCAGGGAAGCTGCTGCCGCTGCTGCTCCGACGGAGATCTCGATGGCGGACACAAAACTTCTTTACACGCAGCCTGAAGACGACGCGGCTGAGAAGAGGGCAACGGAGATCATGCGGCCAACAATAGTTGTGCACGGCAGAGATGTCTATATGCTGCTGGGAAACTACAGCCGTGCATCTTCTGCAAATCGAGTTGCCGGAAAAGCCGGCTGGAATCTTTTGCTGGTGAAGGGAACTGTCAGTGGAAGCGGCGACGATAAGAAAATCACATGGAGTGAGACCCATGTGGTGGAGCCCAAATCCACAGCAAGTCTCAACTCCCTGACACAGTTGGTCGGAGGCGGAGGCTCGGGTGTCGTGCTGAGCGACGGCACGCTTGTGTTCCCCATGCAGGGAATCAACAGGGAGGAAAAGGGCGTCTTGCTGGCCATGCGCCTCCTGCAGTCAGACGACAAATGGACTCTTTCGTCCGGTACGACCGGTGCGGGCTGCAGGGACCCGTCCATCGTGGAGTGGGGGGACGACGGAAGCCTCCTTGCGATGGCTCCCTGTGCGCGAGGCTCCTACGACGTCTACGAGTCCACTGTGTATGGGGTAGATTGGTTAGGCGGTGCGCCGATTACCCGCGTGTGGGGCACCTCACTGAACCGGCAAGGAGGGGACGGAGTGCAGGGCGGCTTCATCACGGCGGAAATCGAGAAGAAAAAGGTGATGCTCCTCACCACGCCGGTGTACTCGGAAGAGGAGGAAGGCGGTGCAAAGGGTGCGCTGCATCTTTGGTTGACCGACAATTCCCGCGTGCACGATGCCGGAGCGGTGTCACGTGAAGCGGACGACGCTGCTGCCAGTTCCCTGCTGTACAGAAGCGGTGCGCCGGCGGAGGAGTTGATACTACTGTACGAGAAGAAGAATGGAGACTCTTACGGCCTCGTATCTCTGAGCCTGGCAAAGCAGCTGGAGCAGATCAAGTCTGTGGTGCAGACCTGGATTGCATTGGACACCGCCTTGCAAGGCTGCGATACCAGCGGAGACCTCGACCCACGGGAGACGGGCGTGTGCAAAGGTCCTGTTCCCACCAAAGGGCTGGTGGGCCTTTTGTCCAACACACTGGCCGGGACTGCGTGGGTGGACGAGTACCGCGGCGTGAACGCGACAGTGAAAGGTGGGGCGGCGACAAGCGAGAAGGGAGGTGTGACGTTCAGCGGCGCCGGAGCGGGGGCGGAGTGGCCTGTGGGAAGCAGGGGGCAGAACCAGCCGTACTACTTTGCGAACAACGGGTTCACGCTTGTGGCGTCGGTGATGATCCACACGGTGCCGGAGGAGGACACGCCTTTGCTGGGCGTGAGGATGAATGACGCAGCGGGCACCGTTCTCCTGGGTGTGTCGTACACGAAGGAGAGGAAGTGGGAAGTGACGGTCAGCGGTGAGATCCGGGAGTTGTCGAAGGAAGATGCAACGTGGGAGACAGAGAAAACGTATCAGGTGGCACTGCAGATGAATACTGACGATGAGTTGTCTGTGTACGTTGACGGGGCTGCGATATACGACGGCGGAGACGATGATGAAGAGGAAGATGGCGATGGTGGCATCGCCTCTGAGGTGGCCGAACTCTTCACGCCGCACAGGATCTCGCACATTTACGTTGGCGGGGACGGGCGGAGGGCAC